TTCTGTGCTTGATTTAGCCTGAACAGCTTTGTTAAACCTTGTATTATGCATGACATATATTCATTTTGTCCCCCACCTACTCCCCCGTTGCATCCGTGTGCCAGGCACCATCCGCCGTATCTGATCCCTGTACACGGCTCCGTGCACAGAGCACTGCTGCTTGCATGCCCGCTTGTCTGCTGACCAGCTGTGCCTGGTAGAGGCAAAGAAAGCCTCGCTGGAGTGCAGCAGTTGAGGAGCGTGTGCTCTTTCACAGGGCTCCAGGTGGCAAAGAGCTGTCCTATGGTGGATACTCTCTAGTTGTAAGAGGAGGCCAAAGCCCCATCCCATCCTGTAATCAAGTCAAGTATGCCAAGCCATCCAGCAAAGACATGGATCCTGTTGCATGGATAATCTTTCTTTGGGGATCATGGTAGTCGAGAGGCTGACTACATTGGCTTTAGGTCTGGTTGAGTATGGGCTTCGGATGGTGCTTCAGAGAGACTGTGACTCTCATCCCTGGCCCCCCTTCACCTCCCAAATTCTTTCACTTCCTTTGGTGGTAGTTTTATCATTATGATTATTCACAGACGCTAAATATTGCTGCTATCCTGCAGAGGTATTTGACAACTGAAATTCACAGCTTCTGGTGGCACAATGGCAGGTAAGATTTTGTAGCATGACGTTTCCAGTGGCTGTGCTATCCTGTGTTGATTCCCACCCTGGATTTTCACTAGAAGTGCATCGCTCCAGAGCCCAACTGCCACTCTTGCGTGAAGCTGCAGTGAAACAGAGCTGCGGGCTCTGTTTTGATACAGCCTGAAATTCAGGCCTAGTTCTTGTTCATTAAATGATTGTTTATATACAAAGTGAAATACATAAAATTTAATGTATAATTTAGCAGCAAACTGGAATTTTCTGTGTGTGGTGGTGAAAGAATATTTTCTCCTCAATTACTGCATGTCTGCAGCCCTAGATATGCATGTTTCTCAGTAAATAGGTTAGTTGATTTGTGATAGTCAAAGGACAACCGGTCTATGTATAGCTAGTTCTTGTATTTATTAATGGTTATGTTAGAAAGCTGACTGTTTGTTTAGGGTCTTGATTTTGTTAACTCATCATTTACAAACCAACAACACTGATTTCCTTTCTGCAGGAGGACCTTCTGCAGGAAGATACTTTCTTTTAACGCTAGAGAGAACTAACAAATACATAAAATGGAATAATATAAACCCAGTATTAATTAATACTATTTTTCCACCACCTATTGATTTATAGGCTGAATACCAAGAATTAGCAGTGTTTTTCTTTTGTTTTTACAATAATTTAGGAGACCCATTGTCAGTTTTCATAAAGGAGAACAAATATGCCACTGAACATTTGAAATGTGTTTTTTTTTAAATTAGACTCTGATTAGTGCATTCGGGATTTGCAATAATAAGCAGGTTTGAACTTTGCTACTATCAACAAGTGGGAATCTTGCTTTCTTTGTGTTTCTTAGAGGTGAATGGAAAATGTGCAGTGATTTTTAGTGCCATAATCTTGAAGGCAGCAACTATTTGTCTGTCAGCCTAATACTCCCACTGGCTGTTGGTCTGAAAACTGTAGCTGATCTGTCATAGTCCTTTAACAATTCATCCATTCCAAGGCTGTTAGAAAACGCCTTTTATTTTTTTTCAAAGTCCCAAGAGACAGTATGTTTACTTACATTTTTCCTCAAGAAACCAAATAAATTTCAATCCAGACAGAGAAATGTACAGAAGTGCCCATTTCCTGACAGTGAATGTTCCTGCTCAAGTATTTGCACTGGATTATAATGAAGCTTTGGTTAAGCAGATTAAATAGACAAAAGCAGTGAAACTTCAAAGGCTGACCAAATGTGCTGAGGTTTTATTTCCCCAATCTGTAATGCCTGCTTTTGCCTTCCTCTCATTAGCACAGAAAAATAAGCCAGTAGAGCATAATGTGTTGTCCGACTGTAGTGCTTACAATGACTGATTTCTAGCAGAGTTTTTAGGTGTGAGTATGTAAGGTTTTTATCAATGTAGCAGTAGATAATAGACCTCCCATGAGAGGGGTTTTAAGAATGACTGCACAGCTGACAGTTCAGCTGTATTGTAGAGTTTATTTTAGATACCAAGATGCAAAATCTTCATTCCAAACACAGATATTAAGTCTGTGATTTAGTCCAGTGGTTAATTAACTGTTTTTACATGGAGCACACAAAATAGCGAGAGGAATGCTGTTCTTTGGTAAGCTACTAGGAATAAGGTTAAAGCAGTACTCAGTGATATGGCGTCAAAATCCAAGTTGTTTTGGTATTTCTACCTCGCATGTTCCAGTGTTCTCTACAGAACACTTAAATGTGCAGCATCTGTTACCATTTATATTTTGAAGAGTGTTTCCTGCACTGGGAGGTTGATTTGAGCATTTGTGTCACTCAAGGAGTTATGAAACCACACAGAAGTCTAAAATTTTTATTGGGGGAAAAAGTGAATATGTTTAAGATATATAAAATAAAACCTAATTTAATTAAAAACTAATTAAAAATTAAAATAATAATAATTAATAATTATTTTTAAAGTAGATAAATTATGTAACCTCTGTAATGGCTTCCTGTTAAGCTCATTTTATAACACTAAAGTTCATGAGTTATGTACTAATATGGTGTGTGTAAGCACAAGTAACAACACTGCACATAGTTGTAAAAAAGCAGTGAATTTGGACACTGTGGTTTTGGATTCATTTTAAAAAACTAGTGTAATTCCAATCAAATAGACTATTTTTGGCTCGCTGAATATTTTGAGCAGCCTGAACACCTGTGAATAGCAAAATCTGGTTCTGAACAGGTAAATAGCATTCGTTTGATGTAACCACCCATCCCCACATGCCACAGAGCCTCATGGATCTCCCTGACCTGAGTGGTTTCTTCTGTACTTTTCTAGAACTGCACCTCAATAACTAAGCTCTGATGCTGTAAAACTAAAGCATTTACTGAGCTCTATTTCAAATAATACTATTGCTAAAGCTTGTCATCTTGTAAAAGCCTTGCCAGAAAGCATATAAAAAGAAACTTTTAAATATTTTTGTGAACAAAGGCTTTAAAAAGCCTAAAGATTCATTTGAAGAAGGAACGCACGGCATCGAGACAGGACAGCTGACCAAGCCACACAGCCTTTAGATATTACATTTAATACTCCCTTCAAAATTTGCTATGTAATCAAGCTCTTTATGCTAAATGCCTGAAATATATGCCTTGTCATTCAGGAAGGAAGCAACATTGTAAGCTACATGAAGTTTTCTCTAATGAGCTTTTAACTCTTCCTCAGTCTGTGGTGCTGTGAGCTCCCAAACAACTCCTTTTAAAACTCTGGCTCAGAGGCCCCTGAAAGAGGCAAACGTTTACATACCTGGACAGATTATGTGCAGCTTTTTCATGAAGTAGGAGCTTGGGTTTCCAGCTTACTTGCAATTATTTGCAATGAGAGAACTTCAAGTAGTCTCCTATTATTTCAGACATAATGGAGGAAATGAAGAAGCCAGACAGGAACTAACAAGTCAACAAACAAAGGAACCTCAGAGACAGCTCTTGCCTCACACAAGAAAAAAAGATGAACAACCACACCCTCTATTCATCGTGCTGTAGACTGTGCAGCACTTCGGGGGCTAGTCCAGTCTCGAAGCTATTACCAGACAGGCTGACAGAGCATTAATCCTACAAATCCTCAGCTGACTTTCTTAAGTCAGGAAATCAGCAAGGGTTTTAGTTCTTTCTCTAGGAAAGGCCCAATTTTTTTAATTATTTTTTGTTGCTGTTGAGGGCACCCTGAAAGTTCTCACATCATTTTTAGCTTTTGTCTCTGCAAAAATTTCATTTCACGTCCACAAAGAAAACTAAAGCAAAGCATACAACATTTGCTTGCTACTTGAAAAAAATGAGTTAAGACACAGTTCCCTCATTCAAACTCAGAAGCAGCAGCTTTCATCAGCAAGGCAAAGTTATCGGTGTCATCGAATCGTGAGTGCTTTTTAACATTTTTCATTCCTTTAAAATTAAAAGGCTGCTTTTGTGTTCACTTTTTAAATTTTATTCCTAAATATTGGTTTATTATTGCAGTCATGATGATACTTTGCCTTGGTGGTGGTGGCAGGGACAGAGAAGGCCTGGGGTTTGCAAGGAAGAATTTATGGGGAACTCTGGCCTGCAGCTATTTCTGAACTCACTCCTTTCAGTGTTCCTGAACTCAACTGGGCTGCGCTTCCGCAATAGACTTTCTAACCACATTGTGCAGAGCTATGATTTTGTTCTAGCTCGCCTCCACATCATTGTTTTTAAAATGCTGTGAGCTTGGTCTCGTTTCTGGTTTGTAAACACAGTATAATAGGCCAATACAGTTTTATTTTGTCTTTAAGGTTGTTTTCCTCTTCCTGTTTCACAGATACACCATGCCTGAAGAGTTTGTACTTTTTCTGTCAAACGTTCTCTCAATTTAAGGGATGCTTCCTCTTGAGGCACATCTCATTAAGAGTAAGATGCCTTAGTAATGACTGGAACTTGACTTGAAACAGGAAAAAATTCATTTGAGAAAATTGGTAATCAAGGAGGGAAAGTTTTGGGGAAGCAATTTCTACATACAAAGAACAATACTGAAGTATTTGGAGTTAATCTATGTCACAATTTATGCTGTTTCTCTGTACTACTTTGAGTCTGTTTACTGTTTACTAAAATAGGAAGAAGCAGCTGCATTTTTTGGTAGACCTTCAGGTAAACACTGTAACTTCAAGACCAACATCTTTGTGCATAAATTTTTTACACACATTCGAGGTCTGATTTTTATCCAAGTCATGGAACATCACCTATTTGCTTCATGAGAAGATGTATTATCTGGTGTTTAAAAGTGATTTAATGAATTTTGTGCTTGTTTTTAAAAACAGCAGCTGAAAATGGAAGGCAAATGTTACTATATCTGTTACACAGAAGTATTTCAGTAAGTTTCTTATTTTTTTTTCTCCCTTTTAAGGGTCAAAAGGCTTGGATAGAGAAGACCTTTTCAAAAAGAGAATGCATCTATGTAATTGCCAACAACAAAGACATTAGCAGGTATGACAATACCAATAACAGTACTATAAAGGGGGGACTGGAATTCTTAGTCCAAATACTGATATTACTGCTACTGCATGGGCTAGCTAAATTGTGGTCCAGCTTGTTTGGATGGCATAACAGTTTATGTCACACATTAGCTGTCACCTCCGAGTAAGAAACATGGTCACTGCTTCTGTTCTGCATTCTTCCTCCTTCCCTGTCCTTTTGCCTAGAACAACCTTCCAGTGTATATGGCAGTAAAGTAGAATTTTTTATCTTTGCTTGTTAAGAAACACCTGTGGGCTGGTAATTCTGGCATACGTGTATGTACAAACACAACAGATACAACCTAGAAGAAGTGTTTTGATGATTCATGTAGAGCAAGGCATGGTTAGCTGAAAATCTAATTTCTGGTTTATCCTTTGTTTGTTTGTTTGTTTTAAAATCACCATCCAATATTGAAGATACTGTAATCAAAGTCACTTCAAATTTTAACTTACAGGTGCTGCTGTGGCCAGGTCATTAACCAACATATTCCACCTCCTCCAAGTATAACAGCTAATAAAAATGGAGAAGAAACAAAACAAGTGGAAGCTCAGCCAGAGAAATGGTCCGTCAGTAAGCACACCCAAACATACCCAACTGATGCCTACGGAAACCTTGAATTCCAGGGAGGAGGACATTCAAATAAGGCCATGGTAAGGAGCATAGGCTACACTAAGGTGTTCATCTGGTATGTTAGCTTAATAGATATGTGTCAGGATTGCAGCTCACTCAGTGCATAATCCATTGAAATGAAAGGAGGTATCTTTGCTGTTTCGGAAAGGTGTGGACAAGATGCTCAAAAAGAGAGAGAAAAGGCAAGAGAAAAATAATACCTACTTAGGAAGCACCTTGCAATTTCTTGATGAAAGAGTTTCATTGATGTTACTGTCAGTAAATACCAGCTAAGGAGGCAGCTGTGTGTATTAATGCAGCTTAGATTTGATTAGATTTGTGGGCCAAATAACCCAGCATGGACACAGATCTTTTTCTAAGGTTTGAAGTCTAATAAAAATTAGTCTTGCTTCCTGAAAGACAGAGGCCTGACAGAGCTGGAAAATGGACTGTTGAGTTTTCATTAGCAGTAGAAGTAACAGTAAGTCAAGCTTCTGCAAAAAATACTTCCTGTTTTGCTGCGGGAGCTGCGTGAGGACACTGACACGATCAATGTGATCTAACAAGTGAACCTTTATTTCCGTGTTTCCAGTGCAATTTATAACCCTCGACCACACCCAATAAATATTGATTGGCTTCATCGCAAATAACAGCCCATAGTCCAACCTGATTGGCCACATTGCGAGTCATGTTCAAGTCACGTTCACAAATGTTCACACCCATCTTCTTCAAGAAATTAAAACTGCGTCATTAATGGCGGCTGTCTCTTCTCCTGCCCCTGTAAGATGTTCATGCCCCCTGCACCGGAAGTTGTTTATGCTTTCGGCAGTTCCAGTACGTCCCAGCTCAGATTCTCTGGAAAGGCTGGATTGTTCACATGTCCCTTATTTCATAAATGTCCTCCCACATTTTGCCTCTCTTCTGAGCAAATCCAACCCTATGTTTGTTTCTTTGCCCATGTGCTTTCCTATCTCTCTGCTGAGACTGCCACTCGAGACAACCACACTACAAAAACTTATCCAAAATGTATGGCAGAGGTTAGTGGTTTGGGTTAGTGGTGGTTGGTTTGTTCTTAAAGCAGAAATAAACATGAGTTTATGTCATAGTTTTCTTTAATAGAGTAGGAGTTTGACTAGAAATCACAATGGTGGAACTAATCTGAGAAGAGTGCAAATCATTGCTTCAGACATATGGACGTAATAGTGAATGGAATAAAACGTAACAAGCCTCCTATTTCTTATGAAGGTTGTTGCTTCTCTTTGGCAGTCAAACCAGAGGTTTTAGGAACAATAAAAGACCTTCCAGTCATATTAAATAGGCGGCTTCCAAAAATACAGATTTGTAATAAGAGCTTAGGATCACTTGATTGCTGTCAGTTTTGCAGGTGAAGATAGGAAAGTGGGTCTTTTAAAAATTTATGAAGTGAATGGTAAATTCTCGATAGCAAAGTGAATGGTGTTAACCTGTTTTTTCTAATCATAAGGAGCGGAAAAATTTAATAGTGTGTTGCTTAAAAATTGTAAAACTTTTCTTCAAGGTGGAAGGCTTAATATAACCATTCTTTGCTCAGTCAATAGACAATTTACAGAGCAGATGGAGTGATAATATTACACATTGCTCATTGCAGTATATCCGTGTGTCATATGACACTAAACCAGATTCTCTGCTGCATCTCATGGTGAAAGATTGGCAACTGGAACTGCCCAAACTCTTAATCTCTGTCCATGGAGGCCTCCAGAACTTTGAAATGCAACCTAAATTAAAGCAAGTATTTGGAAAAGGTCTGATAAAGGCTGCCATGACCACAGGAGCTTGGATTTTTACTGGAGGTGTTAGTACAGGTAAGCAATTACCAGCACTTTTGGTCTACTTAATGATTCAGTGATGTTCATTCACTAATCTTTCCCACAGGCAGAAGATTTAAGTCTACACAAACGATTCATTAGCCACTAGACCAAAAAAGGAGCATTGTAATAATTTGTGTTTATCTCCTACCCAGCCCATAAGATTTTCCTGGGTCAATATCGATTTGCATTACTTGCTGTTTCCCCTGAAAAAAATTTTCATTCTCAGTTTCAGTAGCAAGGAATCTACCACTAGTTAAAATAGGGTTTTTTCAGTGGTTGGTTATCCTTATAGCTAAGAAATCTCCTACTCCAAATTTGCCTAGCTTTAGCTTCTTACTGGTTTTTTGTACAAAGATCTTTCTGTTACTAAAAGTGTATTTCCTGAGTGTGTTTTTCATACACAGCACTTTTGTCAAACTGCACAGGCTGAGTTCCATAAAACTCTCACACTAAGCAAGTTTTCCAGTCCTTCAGTCATTATCACACCTCTGCTTTGAACTCTCTCTAGTTTTTTTAACAGCTTTTTTGAATTTTGGACGCTGCAGTTTTTGAGACAGTGCTTGATAAAGCTTTTAATCCCTGAAGTAAAACAGCCTTTCTGCTTCCATTTGACACTTCCCTGTTCATGCAGCCAAGAAGCGAGTTAGGCTTTAGGCTGTGTGATCTTTCTGAGATGTAGTGATCAATTGATAATCCACCTAAAATGCCATGTCCCTGAGTCACTGTCTTCATGGGATCACCCACCACCATGCGTGCACATGCTCTGTCTTGTAATTATGCAAGGTATTTGTTCTTAAATGAATGACTGTAAATTAGCAATCTTGAAACCCGGAGTCAGTTGTAAATGTCTCTACTTGAAGACATTGCAATCTCCTGTTTGTGTTTCCCTCTGGTCTTCTGACTACCTGAAACAGTTTTGCTTCTGTATTTCCTTTTTGACCATGTCTAAAATGTCAGTTGTATAGCAACTCCACCAGGAAGATTTTGGCACTCTTCCTGGATTCTGTCAAAAAAAAACGGTGTATGATATGATGTCCAAAATTTGAGAGACATTGAAGAATAGCTGTTTTGATGGTTCCCTAGATATTGTTACATTTTGAGACTCATTGGTTTCTAATTAATTTCATTTATGTTAATATCAATTCTGAGTGATCTGCAAAAAAAAAAATTTGATGCAAAATTTCATTATAAAATTTCTGTAACACTATCTTTATTTAGCTGAAATAAATCTTTATATCAAGTTATTTCTCAGAAAACTTTGTAAGATAAGAATTAATTTCTTTGACTTTCGTTTTACAACAAAGGTCTAATGTCTTTAAGGGAAGGTGATGATTGCTATTCAGAATAATTTTGAAGTGAAATTTTGTGGATAACTATAGGGTTGGGCTTTTTGCTTGCTCAGACCCCGGTGATAGCATTCCATATGTGTTTAGCATTGTGTACAATGAATAATAACATTCCAGACAATGGTACAGATTACACTGTGGCAACTTAGGTGAATTTCATTTCTTTCTTTCAAAGAATTCCTTGAATTCAGAACAAAAGGCAATAGGATTTACACACAACTATTACAAATTACAAAATAAAAGCATGGGTTTGTCTGCATTGCATGTTCTACTGCAAAGTAGAGATAATCAGTTTCATAGTGAAAGCAATCCAGAAGAGCAGATAGCTCCACGAGAGGCAAGACGAAAGTTCTGTTGTTTAGTGATCTCTCAAAAGTGCCAAGAAAGAATTAAATTAATTGTACCTATAGGTGTCATTCGTCATGTGGGAGATGCCTTGAAAGATCATTCTTCCAAATCCAGAGGACGAATATGTGCCATAGGAATTGCACCATGGGGCATTGTAGAAAACAAGGAAGATCTGATAGGAAAAGATGTAAGTCTTTAAGGAAACTTCTATGTAATTAGCAATGTCAGCTGTCTAACAAAATACACTGTTCATCTTTTGGAGTATTAATGTTTTCACTGTTTCTAAAGCATGCCTAAGAGCTGAAATTGAACAATTTTTTGAAGAAAAGCTGTTGTTTAAATATATTTGTCAGGTTGTCATGTATGATGTCAAAGTAAATATGGCGCTAGTGAGATTTCCATTGTTTTCAATAGTAGAGACCTCTCTGTGGTGACAGAGTTTTAGGTCCTAACTTCAGTGTGGCATTCTGAGACTTCTATAAACCATTTAAGGGCCTTTATGGGTACAAGACTGGCCTTTATTGTAGATGGGTGCTCTGCAGTGGCATATTAATTACTAGGAACTCCAAATGAGAGTGTATTTTCTAATGCACTAAGAGCATTATGTAACACAGCGTGTGATCAAGGAGAGTATGTTAATGAGCTTAGGGGAACAGGCAGGAGAGTGCACAGATGTGACTGTCACCCCCCAAAGAAAACACTGCAGTGAACAGCTCAAGTTTTGAATGTAAAAGCAAGCTCTATTTCTAATTCTCCTCTAATTTTTGTTTTAAAAGTCTGGTTAATTCTTTTCCTCATAAGACATGTGCTTCTGTTGGCTGCTGTGGGGGATTTTCACATTTAGTTCTTTGCGCTAATCTAGGTGCATCTATCCTTTTGACACACAGGTAACACGGGTTTACCAAACGATGTCAAACCCTCTAAGTAAGCTCTCTGTGCTCAACAGTTCTCATACCCACTTCATTCTGGCAGACAACGGCACGCTAGGTAAATATGGAGCTGAAGTAAAGTTACGGCGTCAGTTGGAAAAACACATTTCACTCCAGAAAATTAACACACGTAAGTACAGTGGGGCGAAACGTAAACGTAACATCTTAAAGGAAGGGAGAGAAGGAGGGCTTAAATACTTTAAGGTATTGAAATTAAATGCTTCTTCCAGCTCTTTCTAGCAGGAATTTGATCAGGACCGCTTGACTAAACTAGAACACATGCTGTCTGATAAGTGGTGAAAGAGCCCACATATAACAGCACTGAAAACCCAGAAAAGTAAGGATTGCACAAAGAGAGGAAGAAAAATCGACAAATAATAGCAAGGAGAAACTTCAAAGCAGTAAGAATTTAAGGAAAGGGAAATGTAAAGAACTTGTGCACTTCTAGCTAGAATTCATAAGCATCAGTAAATACACAGAATGGGGTGATTTTGTACAGTTTCTGTTTACAAGAATCCTGTGTGGCTCAGTGGTTTCTGATTCCAAATAACCTTTTATTTTCTCTTTTACATGAGTTTGTTTAATTTGAAAAATGAGACTCAAAATTCTTTGATCTTCCAGATAAACTCAGCTGGGATTTTGATTTTTAATGAAGCCATTATCAAGATAATTTCACATTGGTGCTTTCATATTTAGAGTTTTGTGCAGTTTTAAAATTGCTTCCGGTTGTTACAGCCTCTCTAAAACAACTTTCTAGAATTCTTTTTGTCACTACTTAAAAAAAAATTAAAAGATGGTTTTTCATTAACATTTTTGTAAGAAAAAAATATTTTTTTAAAGATTCACTAAATAAACCTGTTAATAGCTGTGGTTTTCCAGCAACTGAAAAACCCAACAACCTAATTAAAAATGGTCCAAAAAAAGTTGATAGTCTTTGAATCCACACTTCAATTAAGAGCTACTGGTGAATAGACATCAGTTCTACCAATTGCCTTTCTGACTTCTTGCAGATGTGACTGTAACCTGTGTAGGCCCATATAAATAAGAAAAAACAAACATTCAGAATGACAATTGCACTGAACTCTACAAAAGTTTCTAATAGTGTTCAAGTGCTCTTTTGGGTAGAGCAGAAAATGAAGTAGAGTGCTGGGTAAAGCCGAAAGGCACAGTTAGAGATCAGCCACAAGATACCTAAACATTGTGGAAAGTCTTTAAGTACTGCTTTTCACTTAGGGTAAGCTCAAGAAGCTGAACTCCACAAAATGGTGCCCTTTGCCTCTGAGTGTGTAGACAGCGTCATGCACTGTTGCCCACAGACATTAGAAACAGCTAACGTTAGCTATGCTTTTTTTCATCTCTGCCTTCTGCAGAAGTGCTGGGAGATTTATAACATTGTAAAAGGGAGCACTGGCTTGGAAGATAAGGAAGTCAGGGCCCAGAGGCAAGATGTTCTGTGTCATTTCTTTTTAATACCACTGGGGCTGGGGATATCGGTTCTGATTTAAGTAGTGTTTCGTAATTTTTGATATGAGAAGGGCAAAGTTGGGAATTAAGGAATAGGAATTAAGAGTTCTGTGAAGGGCAGCAGTACAATTGCTAGTAACAACATACAGGGAGTTGTTTTGTTTCTTTTTAATCACTTCAAGCACAGGCACCTCTTCTGGAAATCTCGGCAGGAATCACTAAGGATTTCATGGACACACAGGCCGGCCCATGCTCTGTGACTTCTCCTTATCAGAGCTGGGGTATACTGACAGGAGGATGTCAGGAAACTTCTGCTGTTATTGTGCATGGTGTTCCTGTTCTTCAGAGAGGAATGAAGGTTGAAAATATGAACTTTCACGCGTTCTCAGCTGTACAAAAAAAGTGCATCTTCTTTATAAAGCACTGGTCGTTTTACAGATTAAGAACTGAATTCAAATGTTTATAATAGTGGAATTAGTCATCCTCCAGGTACTGTTTTGTCCTTCATATCCCCAAGTATCTTGTGACCAAGGCTACTGAGACTATGTGACCTGTGGGCTTCCCTTTGTCATCCTATGCCTGGAGATCACAGTGAGGCAGGGACAGCAAAGGGATGCTCAGCTGTCGTCTCTTCCATCGACCAGCCATTTCAGCCTCATGATAAAGACACTAATTTCATATTTTGTATCTTAGGAGAAAGCATAGGTATATGTCACCTTACACAAGACTTCCTGTAGGTAACCAATGAAGACAAAGTGGCTGGGAGCCATCCGAGTAACAGAAGCTAATGAAGTAATAGGAGAATCATGTTAGCTGTTTTATCTGTACACGGTGTCTGTCAAAAGAGGTTACAAACAGTTAACCAACACTGAGTGAATAAATGATCAGTGTGGAGCTGATGCAAAAGCAAGGGCAGACAGACATCTTACTCTTTTCCTTTTGGGGCTCTGAAACAGCATATGGACATTTTTTCCTGGTGTTGGCCATCATTTTTCCTAACTGCTCTGGTTTAAAGTGATACTGTAACATAGAAATCACATCCACTCATAATATCTCGACTTCTTAAACTAAGTTTCAATGACACTTCTTTTGTTTCCGTTCTGCTTTTTGCAGGTCTAGGACAAGGTGTTCCTGTAGTTGGGCTCATAGTGGAAGGGGGTCCCAACGTGATCTCCATTGTCTTAGAGTGTCTACGAGAAGAACCCCCACTCCCTGTTGTGATATGTGATGGTAGCGGACGAGCATCGGATATTCTGTCATTTGCACACAAGTATTCAGAAGAAGGAGGGTAAGATTTTGAGATCTTCACCAAAGCTGTGTCTTACTCAGGAGGACAATGTAGGACTATATACCTTGCTTTCATTAAGGCTTCATAAAAAAAACATCTCAGGGACAAAATGCTACTAACTGAGGCATTCTGCTGTCAGTCAGCTTTTCTTGCCTGTTTGACCTTAGCCCTGGCATTAATGACTAGAAATTGTTATCACTTGGAATGTACTTGATGTTCCATTGAAATAAACTTGCTCTCAGAGCAGCGCACGGTCATACAAGTGCCACCAAAGTTAGCTGCACTATACTTGGTGCTGGGTTGGGTGTGTGGGAAGCGAGGAACAAGTGGTTCCCAAGAATTACTCCTTTTTTCAGGCCAGGGCTGAGATTCGTTAGTGCATGCATTTGCAAAAGTTGTACTGTCCGATTCTAGTGTGTTGTGTGAATAAGCTTCATTCTCCAAGAGAGCCAGACCAGCTGAAAAACGTTTGGCTTCCTTCCATTCTCTTTCTATTTTTTGCATCTGCGATGGTTCTTCAGGGCAATGCTGCCTGATGTCATTAACAAAGTGGAAAATGTCTGGAGCATTCTGCTCTGCAGCCCTCCTGTCTGTTGCCCAAATGAATCTGTAAAAGTCACTCCTAATTCAAAGTTTTCTGGAACCTGTTATTTTTGTAGTTGGTTGTCTGCCCCTTTGGTTGATAGAAAGTATGGTTAGTTTAAGGCAGACACAAAGCCTATACTAGCAGCAGG